CATTTCTTACTCGCACTTCATTCATATGGCACACTTTATTGGAGTAGTCGTGACATTTAGCATAAGTTGATATTTTCAAATTTTCAAATTTGAATTTTCATGGAATAATTCCCGGATGATTCAAGAAGTGTAGTACCTCCATATTTTTGTTAATGTTAACCTGCTAGTTTCAAATCATTTCATATGCAGAAAAAACGAAAAGGGAAAAAGAACTGATATAGAAGTCTCTCATCTGCTTTTGTTCCTTACGTACCCAATACATCCTAACATTTTTCAAGAAAGTCACAAGGTCCGAAATCAAATAAACAAATAATTATATGAACCAGCAAAAAAATCGGATTTCCTTTTTCTGAAGTAAAACATATCTTAACGAAAAATTTTAACAACTTTTAAACGTCAAAATTTCAAACATATTCAATGTTTCAACTGTATTTCGCACTATAAGGATTCAAAACACATCAACATCGTGAATTGTTAACGACAAGAGTTAACTGATAAAGTTAACTTTTAGAATGATTGCTAGATTGTAAATAACGATTAACAGTTCTTAAGCAATTAGTACATCCCACTACGCATTTTCTTATCGGCTTGTCGTCGTCTGAGTTCACCTTTATGGCGTTCTTTTAATTGTCGATCCCGACCGCCAGTATATCCCGCTCTACGCCATTCGTTAGGACTATTTCCTAATGCGTGCTCCACCCGTCCTGCTTGTGTTGTATAGGTTTTTTCATCTGGTGTGGTAACAATCATCATTTTTCGATCATTTTTTAAGTGTTTTTTCTTTCTCGCACTTTCTTCTCCAGTTTTTTTTTTTCATTTTCTGCATTATCACTCACTTCACCGTCTACTGGTAGATGATTCGTATTCAATTCAATTCTAGTTTTTTCGATCGCAATATCATCATCTCTGAAATGTGACAAAAGTTGAACTATCAGAATTTGGCGCATAAAATTTCCAAATAGTGCTGAAAATTTTTGAATCTTTGAAGTTCTGATCAATGCATCCTAACTTTGGAATTATCCGTGACCTAAAATGGTCCATAAAAATTGGACACCTGAAGTCGAAATCATAATTTTGGCACTGATTATCATACGTGTCATCATATTCATCATCATACAGATTGTATTCCGGAGATGTTGTTTCCACATAACGATATCGCTCATAGTTTGGCCTGAGGGCAACTTTTTCAGAATCTGGCACATCGAATGTTTCAGTGAATAACGGTCTACTGCAAGAGTTGAAAACGTTGGCTACAGTAAAGAAGAATGATTGAGCTTCATTAAAACTTTAAAATTTAGTGAAATTAAAAAATAAGTTCGTTTCAATCAGTTGTGGCATAAAATTTCCGAATAGGCCGTTAAAAATTTCCGAACTTTTGAAGTTCTGATCAATCCATGCGGACTTTAAAACTATCCGTAACCTAAAATAGTCCATGAAAAGCAGGAATTAAATTCGATTCGAAGTTTAATTTAGACTTTGGTAGAAAACCTGTAAAATAAGGATGAAACATAAACCTTACTTCTTGATTTGTGCATTCATTTTTTTCCCCTTTAAAAATGCTTCAATACCAAATTCAACTTTCAAATCTCTCTGGACGTTATTTCCTGTTTTTGATTCGGAATTACTCTGAGCACTGCTAAGAGATTCCACCTCTTGCCTATTGGTGGATACCTGTAGTGGTTTCATGCAAATTAATGGGTCTGGTAGCTTGGTTTCGTTTGCTTTTGGTTTACGACCGGAAATTCCATCATCTAAAATTTAAAACGAAGTAAAGCCTAGGATGACAACTTAAAATAAACGAACTTGGCATTTTGCAAAAATGCAACATTGAGAATGTAAATAGGACATTGCATGGTTTTTGCAAAAAAAATCAACTTTTTAGGGGAAGGCTTATTTTTTGGTCAAAAAGATAAAATTTGAAATAGCTTTTTAATCGTTTTATTTCCCAGTTCTTTTTTTCTGTTAAATTTCTTCAATATTTTAAAATTTTATTAATTATAATGCTTTTCATAGAGAAAAATGGATGAATAGATGAAAGAAGAGAAAGAGATAGGGGAGAAAGAGAGAGCGGAAAAGAAGTGAGAAAATGTGAGGAGAGAAAATTGTCTAATCATTAAAAATTCATTGGAATTTTCAAATGAATCGGTAGTCATTGGGAACAATGAAGCGTTTAGTGGTCCGCAAAATTTGTACAATTTTCTTTTTTTTGCCTGCTCTTCTTTCCTTTTCCTTACTCTCATTCACTTTCCCTTTATTCCTCACTTATCATTTACTAAAATTAAACAAGAGATGAAAGAGGATGAAGAAGGAAGAAAGGTTGAAATGAGATGTAACGGAGAGGAAGAATAAGCGAAGCAGTATGTTATGCATGTGACAATTTAACCGTTTTCACCTGCAACTACAATTTGTGAAAATCTATTTGCTTGCTTGAAATATTTTCTAATTCTAATTCCAAAAATAATATTAACAGCAGTGCTTCAATTCTAAATTAAATTATTGCCAGTTTTGAAATATTAAAATTTCTGAAAGGGATGGAATTTAATCGATTATTGCTTCTGTAAATGAATTCAAAAAAAGTAGAATTATGCTTTAATTCAGGTTAGCAAAAAAACTCACAGGTCATTGCAATTTGAACAGAAGTGAAAAAAAGCTTAAATGAAGCAAAAATCAAATAACATATGGTAACTTCAGAAGGAAAAGGAAAGAAGCAACATGAGTAGCGAAAGATGAAATTTTACAGTAATTAAGGATAATATTCTCACATAAGCGGATATAAGAAATAAAAACTAAAATTCTTCACTGTGATGATATGCAGCAGATCAATATTTGAAGAGAAAGAAATTTCACCGAAAAATTTGAATAAATCAACCAATTTGACGATGAAATGGGTTTAAGGTCAGTTAATGGTGATCGACTGGTATGAACCTTTCCATAAGGATTGCGTACGGTCTTTGTTAGAAGATTATGCTGTAACCAAACAATTTTTGAGGTAAATTTAATATGTAGCAGAAGCATACCGATGAAATCATAAAAGGGAGAAGATCCAGCAGCAATTATAGGCGCATTTTCCGCTTTTAATTCCACTGACATTAAGGCTTGCAGATCTAGTGGCAATTCATTAGTATTCAGCAATGCATTTGCAGTTTGTTCAGCTTGATAACCGAAATGCCGCAAGCATAACTGAAATCGAATAACTCAGAATTGAAAATTTTCAAAAAAATGATAAATTTAAACTTATCTTAATCTACCCTAACAAATGCACTTAATTATTAATGTTTAATTGTGAATGACCAAATCATCCTTACACCAAAAATATATTTACGAAGTTCATTCAATTTTCATATAAATATTTTCGTCATGAAAAGCAAGAGTTTTATACTATGAAACTTCAGAATCAAATTTTGTATAAATTCTAACTCGTGAAAAATCTATCAGTACGTTAACCGAAATCGATATTGAAGTGAATTACAGCAAGTATCAGACAAGTGCCAAATCTAACAATTCCTAAAATCGTTCGTTACTAAAGAAATATTTTCTCAGACAAACTTTTTATAATAAAATTCGAACTAACATGAATAAACTGGGGCGAGAAATGAGGCAAAAGTTCGGTCAGGTAATCGATTTTATCCTGTACTTCTTGATTAGCCGATGATCCAAGGCCCTGCAAATCGCAATAATTTTTCAGAAATTTCCTTCAAATACTCCCTTCATGAAAGAAACAACAATAATAAAAACGATGAATTAATGAATTAATTCCATCTTACAGAAAAATTCCCAAAAATTCTGACTTAAGGTCTTTCTTGTATATCCAGTTTCAACTGTACAGTGTTTAGATTCACGCACTGACAATAATACAGATGATGAATGATGTGGGAGATGCGATACATCCAGAAAGACTAAACAGTCAAATAAATAAGTAGCAATAACTTACAACAAGCATACCACGCTTTTTCAGTTGTTCAAGAATATGCGTGGTATAGTTACTTCTGATATGTTCAAGACTAGTATTTATATATATCTTCTGTTCTTCATCGAATCGATTAAGAACCTCTTCGATTGGATAAATAATACTGTAGTAAAAAGTAAACCTGAAAAGCATGATTACAGAGTATGACTATCCAAAAAATAACGGATTTTAGAAATGTAAATGTAAAGTCTGAAGTACTTATGAAACTAACTTCGAATAATAAAGGACTTCAGCAATTAGTGAGGCAATTTCATGAAACTAACTTCGAACAATTTTTCTAGTTATAAAAGCAACATTATCGAAGAAAATATTTAGGAAGCAAGGAAATTACTCTTACTGTTCAAACTTCTTACTGTTCACACTTACATCCAGCAGAACATGACTAGGTTGCAAGGAGAATGTTTCAAATAAATAAAGGTTTATTTTCAAAGGAGCACAAAGATGAAGCAAGCAGTAAGCAAAAAACGTCAACTAGTCCACTAGATTTTAAATATATTAGAGTTCACTGGAGAGTTAAGTTTCAAGTATCAAAATTGAAACCTTTCGTATTGCAAGCAGTTTACAATAACAATATATAATTCATCTACTAAAGCAAGGGTACCAATTACAGTGTGGAAAACAGTATACGCTGAAGCTAGGACATTATCCACCATTGTTAACAATATCCTGAAATTCTAGGCAAAGATATATCTGGAAACCAAAACATCAGAAATAACACAAATACAAGGACATTTAATGTGATACTCATTATTGGTGATAGCAGTGGTGGTAATAAGTAAATATCGAATTTTCGAAAATAAAAATTTCTCTTCCGAATGCGATTCGAGATGCGTATACAAATTTATTTTTCCACAATTTGCTAATTAGGAGTCAATAACAATGAATTTACCCGAATATTTGCCGCAAATCTGTTGATATATTCAACATCTGATCTATGCAATACTGTTCTTCCAAATTCTCCACAAAAAGAGCTACACTAAATTGATATATCATACATTCTCTTCAATTTCATAAGGATTTTCCAGTGGAATTGCTTACTAAGCTCACGATTTAATCAATAAATTCGACTTAAAACTTGCACGTAAAAAGTTGACTAGAATAGGAAATCATCTGAAATTTAAGTCCATGGGTGAAAGAAATAATATACCCACCAGTTTGCATTTTCAAGAAACAAATGAACAGAAACATACCTATTCAAGAAATCACATAAGATCGGTTGTGATATTTGCTGATTAAACAGCAGTGATGCAACAGTTGTTAATCCTTCAAAACTGATTAAGCATTTTTCCAAAAATGTCTCCATTTTATTAACATTGTTTCTTGAAAATGCAATATGCTTATTGAAGTCGATCAATTCCTAAAATACGAACATTGACTTAACACTAGTAAAAATCAAAAAGGACTAATTTGCTGAAATTTAATTTTCCTTTCTCATTTTTTTTCTTTTGAAATTTAACATCGATAATTGCAAGCAGTAATAAAAACAATAATAAAACGGTAGTAAAAATAATAATCAAAAGCATTAGTTTTTATTCGCATTTTAATGCAAAATTGGTTTATGCACACCAAGCCTATTTGTCCCAGAATATTTTGACAAAAAGACAAACGTATATTTTTCAAAAATTTGCAGGACTTCGAATTTTTAGAAATATTCGGGTGAAAATTTGAAGAAAAGAAAATTTTATTTTTTTTCTCTGATTTCCATAAAAGGCAATAGATGAAGATTTGCTGCCTTTATCAAATTGAGTAATATGATCATAATAAGCGGGAAGGTTGTCAAACTAAGACTACTAAATTTGAAAAAAGTAGTATTATATATTTATTTTTAATTATCTTCGATTCATGGGTATAATGGAAAGCGGAAGAAGGCTGTAAAATACCTGTTCCATAGTTTTGATAAATTTTTCAACATCCTCTTCTGTGAACTGCCTTGCACCATACGCTTTTGTGACGATATTTTCTACAGCATTTCGATTTGATATTTTAAATACTACAATTGCACGGAACAATCGATTTAAATCGAAGAGAAAACTTTTTTGCGGATTTTTCTCGCCATCAAACTGAATATTGAAAATATATAATTTGAAGAGACAATAAATGCGACGATTATTGAATGACTGCTAAAATTTTTGCGTTTTTTTTGTCAAAATCAAACAATTAAAAACTGCAAGTTCGTAAGTGTTATTTAAAGGCATTCTCCCGGAACAACCATTATTTCTTCTAAGGAGAAAATTGAAAAAAGAATTACCACAAAAAGTAGAAAAACAAATATGAAAAGTTGTTTCTACACCTCTTTAGCAAGCTTCAGGTAAAGCATCAAAATTTTTGTGTACATTTCAACAATTATCGCACGAATTTCTTCTCCACGATTCAACTGCAGACTTCTATTCAGTGTTATACTTGGCGCCTCATTTTCTCGCCAATTTCTGAAATTGTTAACGATCAATGGATATAAGACGGGAAATTTTTGAATAACTGCAAAAGTTGGCTAAACTTCGAAGAGCAAATTTTAGAATTAACATTGACTTCAAAATTAAATTCTAAACATGCAACAAAATCTTGCAAAAAAAAGAATCACTTTCAGTAAAAAGTAAAAAAGACAGGGTGAATAACGACGAAATACTTTGGGAAAATATCAAAGAAGTTGTCAACAAGTTCTGAAATTTGCTGATCACAAGACAATCTGTTCATTAGGGCTGGTTCCGACAATGTCAAGATATTATTCAGCGATTCTACAGCATATCTCCAATCACTGATCCAGCTATCGGTATCAGCATCAATAAGTGGAAGTGGCAGTATAGCCATTGTCTGAAATCGCAATGAAGCATTAAAATTAGGATAAGGGACCTGCACAGATATATGCCAAAATGTATGCCTCTCAAAATTTGCCACTTCCAGAACTTCATGCTATTCCTTCTATTGAAACCTTGCAAATCTCTGAATCAACCTATTATCAATCTGTTCTCAATATCCTTATCAAATCATGCAGAACAAAGCACACTCTCTCTGGCACTTATTTGCAGAAATTCGAACCAGTTATCATTAATGTCTGTGATCCGTATGAGAATTAATAGTGCTACGGTAGTAAGTGAGGTATCCAAATAACACCGTTTTCATCTAATGTAAAATTTCCAAAAATCAGAAAATTTTATTTAAAAAATTTTAACAACAGATGTCGCAATGCATTAAAAACAAATACATTAAATATATTAACTTTTATTTTAATTATAACGAACAAAAAAAACCATGTATACTGACAATAATAACAAACTTTTCCAGTTCAAATTACATCCGGTAAGAAAAAGCCTAATTGCAAATCAATACTTGTAAATGACTAGAAATTTTCAAAGTCAAGGAATTCAAAAAAAAAAGAAAAAAAAGCGAAGGAAGACAGTACCATTGACAAACTAGTATGACGTAAATGTGGAGAGAGAAGTGAACGATAGCAAAGACGTAAAAAGAATTACTTTTCTAACCTTATCCATAGTGATATTTGGATTACATCTCAAAATGTTAAATGAATTGTGAGCTTGATCTTTTTAAAATTACGTATAATTAGCTTGGTGGCCAGTTCATCTGAACTTTTTCATGTAGGAATTGTGGAAGCCATTCGAGATATTCATCCAAAAGATATTCACTTTTATCCCTCCATACTTCCGCTAAACGTCCTCGACTTGTTACCTGAAAAATGACGGATGAAATAGCTGAGCAGCTCTCGTAAATCAACTCAATTTCTTCAAAACTGTCATTAGAATTCAAATTCTGAGGTTAACTAAGCCCTTGCCTCATATTCAATCAATGCATTCAGCAGCTTCTCCGTTCGCATCTGTAATTTTGCCCATGGTTTCGTCATTGTGCTTGGTGAGAGTAGTAGCTTGTCAGCATAAGTCGCTAAAGATGGACAGACTGAACCATCGAGAAAAAACTGCGCAAAATAACGATATAGAGTGACATTAACGGGTAACGGCTGTTCAACTTTGCCTAAAGACCAATGCATATCGCTGAATGTTCCATCCATTAAAATGAGGATACTATCTGTGGCTGGATCATATCTGAAAATTTGAGATTTTTCAATTTTGGTACTAAATAAAGTTCCTTGTTTTTAAAATTTCCGAAAGTTATTAGCCAAGTTCTCCGAATAGACATAGGATCACTTGCTAAAAAACTACACTTACCGTGGCTCAGCTTCCTTCACTGACGTAAAATGGCAATAAGTATTCGCCAAACGAGGCAACCAATTCCTCTCAACACAAATCACATTTTGCATATATTTTTTATGTTTCCGCTGCAAATTAAACCAAACATGAATACAAAATTTCGAACAAAATCGAGTGTTAATGTGAAGTAAAATATGATCCTAGTTAACAAATCACTTCAAATGAACTTTAAATGTAAAAATATTTTATTTATAAAATATTTATAAAAATATTTTCACAACTTTATTTGGCAAATTCCCTATGGGAAGTAAATTTGACAATAAACCTCAACGATTTCTTGATAAAGCACCCACTCTGGTTCATCTTTAAATAATATAGAACCTGGATCGATGTAAACATAGTCCTGCAAATGATTTATTTGAAAATATTTTTAAGATTTGGGTTTTTGAGTAACAGTAAATAAGATAAATCAGGAAAGGCGAACCTTTAATTTTTGAGATTGATATGCACCCTTGGATAGATCCCCAGCCGCCACTGGATCCACTCTTTTGGCTATATTATCAGTAAGTGAAGCAGTCACGATTTGCCTGAGAAAAAACAGAGTTCGACAGAATTATTTAAATTTTCGAGCAATAACTTTACATTGGTTTGAAAACCTTTTTCAACTGAGTATAAAATCGAAAATCAAAATGTTTCAAAGTCGATTTCACTAACCTTAACATTAGCATTTCTTCATCAGTAGGTGGTTTCATATCTATTTTTACCGTAAATGGCTTATCTTGTGGACATCTTGAATTGATAATTTTGATTAACTGCTGACGTAATTTCCGAATTTCAATAAGCGCTTTATGACGAACTCCCAATCGATGACACTCCTCTTGAGATCCCTGAAAAATGTTTCCAGATACGTAATTGAATACTTGTTGCAATAAAAAAGATCCAATAGATACATATGCAATAAATTACAGACTTCTAAAGCTTCAGCACTCAAAATAGCTCGCATGATGACAGTGAGATCACCGAAATTCCGCGCTTGTCCGGGTGGACACCATGATCGTCTCTGTTTCAATACTTGAAGCATTAAAGCTTGTGTTTCTCTATCACTACCACCTCTGAAACGAAAAAAAAATGAAATTTGAAAAAATACTTGGATATCTTACTGCAACTTTCTGTATTACAGAATACACAACAAAGTAAACCTTAATGAATAGAGAGGAATGAGTGGTTCTCGAACTGAAAGTGCAGCAACCAAACAACAAGCATGAGTCATCAGAGAATGTTGATTTGCCATCACAAGTATCTTTGCGAAAGCTGGCGCCAATGGGAAAATCGATAATGTTTTTCCAAACAAATTAATTCGTGCCTGTTTCTAAAATAACATTTATTTAAAAAGTGCTTGCACTAGGTCAAATACCACCACAAACAGGACGCAAAATTTAGAAATGATCGACAAATACTCATTTGAATTTCCCCAAATCACGACATCAAGCGCTTGTTCAAGAAATAAAACCAGTTGCCGTCATGCTCAGTATATATCAACGTTTTAATAACATCGATAGTAATGGATTACATAATTCCTTAGTGCAAATTAATAGCAGAAAACCAGAAGCATTATACAAACCAACCACGTTATTTTTAACCGCCACTTGTAAGGCTCCCAAACGGATCAAACGCCTTTCAGCTTCTTCCAGCGAATCTTCATCAGGTGGTGTTGGGAAAGGGAAATTCGCAACCTCAAATATAAATTTAAAAAATATGCATTTTTCCCAGATTAATGCATTGCCGCTCTCAAAAGAAATGTTAAATTTAACATCATTAAAGCAGCAACCTTGACGATGTTCATAGATTTTAGATGAAGTACAAGTTGGTCAACTGGTTTAGTCAGTATTTCTGGTGGGCTAAATTTCTCGAAATCAGAATAAACCGCTGAGGAGTATAACCTGAAATTAGATTTGATAACAGATGCTTTTCACAACAGAAAGAATGTTCTGGGTGTACGGTAAAAAAAATGCCTTTCAATAGCAAGAATTCAATGACTGTACCATATTATCCTCCGAATAACCATTCAAAAGGCTTCTTCATTTAACTGAAATGTTCAATATTGCGCAATCAATTGAGGTCAGAAGTCGAAGTGGTCCTTCCGACTTTCTAATCCATCCGTTTCACAGAACATAAAAGATGACACAACCACAACGCTTTAGAGCAAGCATAGGAAGTCACCTTTTAAACTGTATCGCTATAACGGTGATAAAATAAGTTTTATATATCTAAGGAAAAAGTAACTTGAGCAATGATACCTATAGACTTCGCCAGGTTGAACACGTCCAGCACGTCCAGCTCTCTGATCGGCTGATGCCTGCGAAATCCAACTTACAAGAAATTGAGAAACACCAGTTACCGGATCATAATGACGCCTCTTTTCACGACCACTATCGATAACATATCGAACAGCGGGAATAGTCAGCGATGTTTCTGCTACGTTTGTTGCAACTACGCACATACTGCAAGACGCGTAAGCTAACATGCATCAGAAAGTAAATATAAGATTCAAAAAGCAAAGACTAAAATAGGAAAAAACCATGTAACCTAAAATTCATCGAACTGAAGGTTATTTATACCGTAATTAAGATAAATGTAGAGAACTAACCGATGTCCATCTGGGGCCGGTTCAAAGATCCGCTGCTGTTTTTTACTGGAGAGCAGGGAATAGAGCGGTAAGCAGAAAAGAGGAAGGGCTAATGAATGTCGTGGACATGGACCTTCAGGACGAAGATTCTGAAGAAAAAGGACAGTTCATATAAAGAGGAACTATAAAGTTTAATTAACACAATAAAGTTGGTGCAAAAATCACCTTTCCATGAAATTTTTTTAGTTTATAACTTACTTCACTGATTTCAGAACCGGGATCGCCACAATCCAAATTGTCAGCATCAGCGAACCTATTGTCGGCTAAATCTTCATCTGCAGATTTTCCAGCTTTTTTCGATTGATTCGAAGTTGCCTTCTTCAGTTCCAGTTGACTCTGCTTCAATTTTTTTCCCTCAACTCTCCTTTTTTTCTTTCACAGCGTTTCTGCCTCAATGATAAAATATTTTGATCAAGTAATTCGCGGTTTTCTTTTAAAAACATAAGAAAAGTCATTTTTGAGTTAACAGTGTGAATTTGACAAGAATATCCTTTTGTTCTAAAAATTTACCCAATCGCATAGCGTTCCACAAGCCATTTTAACAGCGCCATAACCTGCAATAAACACAATCTGATCATGAACTGATCAATGCTATGTCCAAATGGTCAAAATAAATTCGACAAAAATAGCTGGGAGAGGAGAGAAGGGAAGTCACTCGAATTTCTTCGGAAATATTAGAAGCAATACCTCTAATTTCCCAGAAAGGAAAACCAGTATCGTCCCAGGACCTTTCTTTTCATGAATCTCACATATTTTATGAAACGCTGCGACGAGGTAATTTTTTGGTGTCCGCTTTTCAAAATGGATAGACACTGGGTATTGTCTTGCATCAATGGTCAGTACAGGTGGCAGCGATATGGGAAACAGCCTGAAAGGGATGGTATCACATCCAATATTCTGAAGTAGTACTGAAACAAACAGGTGAAAGCAGAAGTTGCAAATATTTGAAAAATAAAGTGAATACCATGCAATCCATAAAGTACCTTTTATTTTTAAAATCAACCAAACGTAATGTTGCGCTCATGATAATAAGCTTTAACGGTGAGCCCATACGGAAGCGGTAAGGAGCTATCCGTGTTAACAAACCAATCAGCACATCGCTGTACATCGATCGTTCATGCGCTTCATCTGGAAAAAAAAAAAGTCCTTCCACACCAATATAATGATATCGAAATAAAACTGCACTAAATCAGGGATGAAAATTTTTCAATTTCAAAAATCTATTCATTTCAACAACAGCTTACCGATGACAATAACAGAATAAGCTGAAAGCATCACATCTTTTTGCATTTCTTTCATTAAGACGCCGTCCGTCATAAATAGAATCGATGTTTCGGCTGAGCGATTACCTTCATATTTTATCTGAAGCAACCAATCTCACTAGTTATCGTTAACTCGAAATGGTCAGAACAACATTTTCTCTTTTTGTCCACATTTACGTCTATTTACGAAGTAGATGCACCTCACCCACATGCAGTTTCCTTTAATTGATGGCTATTTTGTGGAGGATTGTAACTGGTTGAAAAAAAAAAATTGCCGTTTACAACTTAAACATGGAACACAGCCAGACATCTCAACATTTACAATCCTTATAATCCAAAGATAGTCCACAATATCCCAGATAAATTCGATTGTAATTTTTCCTCCCAAATTGAGCAAACTACTTAATATAATCTAATAGAAGTTGTAAATTATACCTGATATGAGACTGCATTCGGTAGATTCATTTCCTGTGCTACACGTGCTGCCATAGCCATAGCAGCCACGCGTCGAGGTTCAGTTATTCCTATCATTTTTCCGTCACGGGTATAACCAGCTTCGTACAAAAACTGAGGCAATTGTGTTGTTTTTCCAGAACCGGTTTCACCGCAAATTATTGTTGCCTGATGTGAAAGTGGTGAAAAAAATTGCAAACCTCCTATTTCTATGAATTTTCAAATAAGACAAGAAGCATATAATTGGTAAATTGCCCTTTAAGCTTGGGATTTTTAACAATCTACCTTGTCAATTTTCTAATCTTTTTATTACTCGACATCCGCATGATTATCCCGCTCTACATAATTATGACAAACTTACGTAATTTTCATTTATAGCTTCCATAATGCTCTGTTCTTCCGCATATATAGGCAGCTTTGACCGTTGTGCTTCAACACTTTCGCTGCGATGAACAGGAACAAAGTTGCTTTTCTGTGCACCTTCTAACAGCGACATTTTGTTTCTGATGCATGATATTTTAACCGGCAGATTTGCAACATCGAGTTCCGAAGTATTTGGTTCTATAAGTTTTGATTAAAAACAAAACGTCGATAAGTTCCAGATTCCAAACTCACAAAACGAGCTTACAGCAAGTCTTACTAGAATGTAAGACTGAATTTAAAGAAAGGAAAATGCACCCAATAAATTTATTGTTTCATGGTGTTTGATCATTAGCTTGCTCTCATCAGTATTTTGGTTCGTTAAGTTTTCTTGTCTTCTATCCGCACTATCCTCAACTTGCTTTCTTTCCATGTCTTTGCCGTCTACAGTGCACATTGATGATTCCGCGTCCATTGTTATTACCTAAAAAAAATTCAACCATTATAACAAAACATCTTGGCATTTCTAGCATTACTATGAGACAGAATGTCAAATAATATTTGCAACTCAAGGAAATCAAAGATGGTTATGTAAGGTTTATGAAAAGAAAGATAACCTCTTCTGTGAGCAAAAGATCATCTTCACTTTCACTTCCCGTCTCGTAATAATTTTCTTGTAATGGCTGTTTCTTCAGTTCAGGGAAGAGGACGCATTTACAACCTGCCAGATTTGATAACTTCTTTGGAACAAAACATTCTTCTGGTCTAAAAACTATGAGAAGTTTTATTAAATCAGAACATATGAGATGGGGCATTTCAAAACAATAAAAAACGGTGTGGCCTCCAAAAATTTGTTGGACTGATCAAGCTTTGGCCAAAAAAGAGTAGAAAAATTATGGTGAAGTTTGATACTTCGCACGCTTCCTCGGATGAATTTCTGCTGTCAGTTTGCTCATTGTGCCAGTAGATAATTGATATTGCATCAAATTTTTCAGAAGTGATTCCTTCTGCAAAATGTAAAATTGAACCAGCAATACGTCTAAATTTGGCATGAATTTGAAACTTTTTAGTAAGCTAAATGAGAAAATCTTTTAACAAAAAGGAATTAGTCGAAAAGAAACTCGAAAAAATGACTTGAACATGAACATCTCCTTAGAAATAACCCCAATTTTGATGAACTTCACCAAGACAACAGTAAATTCTCACCGATTCTTTTTTCTTCTTCCTTTCCATTACTTTTATTAGCTTCTTCCGCTTAGTTTTAGATATTTTAACTTCCGTTTCTTCCAGTCGTCTTTTCCTTGCCTCGTGCTTCTTCCGGTTGATTACTTTATCGTCCGCTTTTTTCACTTTTTTCTTCTTAAGTAAGAAAAATATTTACTGAATGGATTTCTTCATAAATAAAGGAAAGAAAAATTTATTGCGTGGAACAGTTGTAATGAAAAAAGAAAATGAAAATGACAAACGCCCAAGCTTAATCTAAAAAAAAAGACTTACCGATTGTTTCACTTAAACCAAGCTGAAGTAAACCCAGTTTATTGATTTTTTAAACGAAAATCCACTCACTTTGACCTTTACTGGTAATAGAAGAATATTAGCAGTGTCGACCGGATTATTATAATCAGCCTCCATTTGTTTTGGACCAACGCATTCGCTGTCAGCTGTGTCTTGTGTGATTTTCTTTTCCTTCATCCTTGTGACAGTATTGATAACCAAATAATACAGAACAAATTCCAGAAGCACCAAGACTTGATTAATACACTGAAATGTTCGGAATACTACTAATGGAAAATACTACTTACAACCGATGAAGTAAATTGATAGGTCGCAACTTGTGAAAATAGATTTAAACAAATTGATGAAATTTAAAAAACACCGTAGTCAAATTAGTGGGATTAAGCAATTTCGTTTGAATATACTAACACAAAATAATTCAGCAGTATAAGAGAACGTTTCAGGGATGAGACGTGTAGTTCGAACAAAGCGTAAAGATACTGCACTGCGATTAATCCAAACCATCAAGTTATTTTGGAGCTCTTGACAACAAGAATGATTGGTGAATTGTGCGATCCATACAAAACGTCTCAACTCAATCGATTTGGTATGTAGGAGCGTAGATAAACTTAGCAATGGTGGATTAAACGTAAACTGTGCGTACAGGAACTGAACTGAACTTGAATGTACAGACGTACAGAAACCGGGACGGTGGTGAGTTTAAGCAGCAGACAGGATTGAGCGGAAGTGACATTAAAAATTTCGCTCAGCAAACTGCGTATGGCTTTTTACGCTAATATATAGTAGAGTCATTGGTCATTCTGGAGTAAAAGAATGATTAAAAGAATGGACGTTAATGCAATAACTTTACATTATTAGCAGCTTACTTTCTTATTAATAATTACTGTGCATCCTAATGCCGTTAAAATCACGTGAGATTCGTTCGGTGAAAAGTGTGGAAACTTAAACCTCATTGGAATTTCTTTAACTCTACTCCGAACTTGGTAAAATCTCATCAAAATTGTCAAATTTAATGAAACTTGCAAGAAATCCATCGGTGACACGACATGTGAAATATCACTTCCCATACGCGCCACGACATGTTATATTTCTTAATTTTTTTTTCATTATTGTATTATGGTTCCGATTTTTTCGCGTACTACTTACACAGTTATTTAAAAAAGAAAAAAAAAATTAGAACCGTTTCAAATTTCTACTCTTTTCCTACATTTCCATACTCTTCTTCATCCTTTTCTCTCCTTTTTTGTATTATTTCAATTATTCTTCCTCATCCTCTTAATTATTAAAAAAACTGGCCAAAAATTTCAATTATTCAAAATTTTCACATATACATGTATATACATATATATATATGTATGCACTTTTTTTCTTTTCATGTTCATTCTCTTCCTATCTTTTCCTTTCTTGTTGTCTATATTCTTTTCCATTCCCCTTCTATCCTCATTTATATTCTTCAGTTTTTTCTCTCCCTCACCTTCACTCTTTCTGCCTCTATTGATGTTTATAAAAATGGATGATTATTTAATTCGGATGTTTATTCCTTCTCAGCTAATTATTTATGTCCGTTCGAAAATGATATGATGAGATGATAGCGAAGGAGCGGGGGAGCGGGGAAGCGGGAACTGCTTGAATCGATTCAGATCTAAAAGATGAGATCATCGATTGGGTAGAGCGGTAGAGTGTTACATCCTCTTCACTATCGACAACCTCTCTTCTACTCACGTATCACAGTGCATATTAAGGTCATCGATGTGTTACACTTGAATGGACAGTTATCTTCTCACATTCGTTCCTACATTTCCTTTGTTCATCCCAGCGATAGTGCTACTTATTAATTTGGAAGCGTTCGAATTATTCAATCATTTAATAATGTACGTGTGTTGAGTATAAAGGGCGTATTTGTCTACGTCTAATTAGACGTATGTTTGTATCGCGTGTACCTTCAACTATACTTACTTGTGGCGTATATGGATATATGGTGTAAGTGCATGCAGAGCATCTACGTGGAGTGTATTTATTGAATATGGATATGGATATATGTCTGTATTAGTGTACATACGTATGCGCGCATATATGTATTTATTAATATGTTGTATAGTATTTATGTAAATTGAAAGAATTGTCAAAATTTTGTAACAAATCTAAGCCTTAATTAAAGTTTTCAAAACATCTCCTTTGTTAGGTTTCTTATCATTTGATAACTTACTTTTCATCCTAATATTATTCCAGTATATAGAGAATGAATGATTTGCACCGTGTCGAAATTATTAGCTTGTTTTTATCATGAGTGGATTAAAAAGATAGAAATCTAAAAATTTCGAATGTTCCTTTTCTTATTTCATCTGTTTAGAATAAACCATTTTTGGGAATACCGTAACAAAATTAATGGATGAAAAGGATTGAAAGAAAATGGTGGGTTATTGTTAATAAAAATTCCGTTTGTTGATAATTGTCATGTTCTCCTGTGTGTTGATTGTTGGAACAGTTGACTGATGGATTAAACACCAAAGGGATTTCCAGTACTGATATTAAAGAGTTCCTATTGTAAATTGTAGTGTTACATATTTCAGGTGAAAATGTTGCTTCAGTTGAAAAATGCTGCGTCTAGCCGTCCTTTGTCTCAAAATATTCAGGTATCCATCACAGTTATTCAATTCTTAAAAGAAAAGTGTTGGAAAACTAAAGTTGGGTAAGAAAAAGCCTATGGAAGACTGGGATTCAATTCGTACAAATAAGATGAGTATTTTTTGGCAATTTCCATTCGCTGTATTTTGGTTAGTAATCAGTGTTTGTAATAGCGGTGAAAAATCATTCGTCATTTGTTCATTTGACTTTTTGAAACCGATAATTTTTTTATCTTTTTTCGAATTATTTTTGAAACCGATAAATCTGTGGCTGGAGATATATCCAAGTTAAGCACTGGGTGATGCGATAGTTGAAAATATATTAGGGTATGAACTACAACAGTTTCAATGTTGGTGAGATTATTTGATGCTTTATTAACGGGGAAATAAAAGTAGAAGGATGGAAGCATATTTGATCGTATCTTTAGGTCTTACGATTGCTAAAGACCTGTGTTTCACAGCAATCTACGAAAACTCCAATTCAAGAATGGGGTTGGGATTATCTCATGCGACAGCGAGCCTTGAAGCGACCGATCAGCCCACATCTTACGGTATATAAGCCGCAAGTCACATGGATGGTTTCTGGGTTTCATCGTGTGACGGGGTGTGCTATGGCTGGTGAATCTTTTTTGTAAATGTTGGGTTTGAGAAATTTGTATCTCTAACAATATCTTTGAAAATTTCGCAAACACTTCCAGATGGAAATGGAGTGCTGAAAAATTAGTAAGAATAACTGAAATTGTCGTGGGATAAAACGCAGAATAGTAGGTAAGTAGGTCAGGAAAAAATATTTTAAGTCACAACAAATATGGGCGAAATAATCTCGAAGTGGAGGCTAATGGTGACGAAACCACTAGATTACAGGTATTTAGAAGTAGCTCGAATTATGGGATTCTCCAAAGGGAATCAATGAAAATTACCTGAACATCACGAAAATTCTCAATCGTATTTCAGGCGCTTTGTTGATTGGTGGTGTTGGTTTTGCCCTGCTGCCGTTAAACTTTACCACGTTCATTGATTTTATTCGTGGTCTTGGATTACCGTGGGTTGTAACCGATATGTTTAAATTTGTCATTGCGTACCCAATTGTTTTTCATTCATTGAATGGTATCCGTTTCATTGCGTTTGATTTGGCTCTGGGGACAGATATTGCTTCCGTATATGCCAGTGGTTATTTGGTTCTTTCGTTAGCGGCATTAATTGCGTTAGGAGTTGTGATAGCACCTCGACTGAAGCAAGATTATGTTGTCGTTGATGAACCAAAGAAATGAATGTCATTTCAGGTTTCGGGGTACTAGCTCTGAATATAAAAATCCATTCTAAAAGTATCGATGCTCTGAATATAGCTCTGAATATAAAAATCCATTCTAAAAGTATCGAAAATTACATCGCTTTTTTCGCTAAACAATAGTTAATTGATATTGTCCACTTTTTGTGTCCTACTAGTTATTAATTTTAATTCATTTATTTTGAAGTTTTCATGAATATCTTGACAATCCGAATTCTTTTTTGAGATGTGACTCGTGAATTCGGTTTATGAAAGCATGCTCATGATATATCATCATTATCTGTATTCCACAGTTTGATCGCGTTTTTACGTCACTTCGCAATCTTTTGTAATTACCAATTGTAACTGACGAATAAATAGAATTTCAGACGATGTTTACCAATGATTCAATCGCTTTGAAATGCGACAAATATGATGAATGTAGCAGTAAGTGGTTAGAATGTCAAGATAACATATACTGCATACAAGTAAGTGCCGTTTTTGTCGTGGTAGATTGATAGGCTTGCGAAATCCGTTTGATATCTAAATATGCTTTTTCATGTGGACGAGAGAATGGAGAATTGCTGTAAGCTCGAATAGATATAATATAGACACTTTTACATCATTCGGGAATATTTGAATCCATCGCGCTGAGAACAAACTTATATTTTGAGACTTTCGGGAGCTAAGATCCAAATACTTAGTTTAAGTTCGTTTTGAAATGTGGTTGTATGTTCTTAGACATCATATTTTAGGCTTAGTGAGTCCCGATTTTCAACGATATTTAGTTACCAATTTGCAGGATTTCGTAGCTGATTATATTCAATACCGTGTTCGCATGCGCGGAAATCATAGGACACCAAATTTGATACAGCCATGTAGACAAGGTTGCGAGAATGATTTGATTCGTTCTGTGGCTTTAATTTTTGAGGAGAAACATGAGGAAGAGCTCCAAAAAATGGTGGAAATGTTGTGCGAGAATGAAAGTTTTTCGTTTAATAGATATATCGAAGTGAGTATCCAATTAAACGCCTTTTATTCATTTTGTGAAAATTATGTTGCTGATAAAATAGAACACAGATTTTCTAGTTATAATAATTGAACTTTAACTATTCTGACTGACTATATCATATAATCATAGAGCAGGATGAGATTTTTACAACGTATCTTTCTCCAGATTATGGAGCACTTCGTATGTATTCGCAATGAAACACCGTCACAAATGTCTTATGGACGTCTGATAGCACTGATCGCATTCACTGGACTGATTGCTATACGGTTAATCGACATGAAATGTTTCACGGAAGTTTCAATGATTATGTCATACACTTCAATATTCTTGCAGAAAAGAATTGCCTTGACATGGCCACATCATAAGCGCTCTTGGGTTAGCTCGCATTGTAATGTAATCTATCTTATGCAGTTTTGACTTCAGAATAGTCCCATATGGAGCGTAAAAAAAAATGGTGGAGAAGCAAGAACATTTTTCTTTTACCTTATTGAAAGTTTGAACATAATTTCAGAGTAAATTTTTTGATCTTGCAAGGACGATAATCAAATTGAACAAAACAGAAGAAGCAGAGTCCAAAGTAGAAAGAAATGAGTGGTGGTCAGCAATTAGCAGATTTGTTGTTTTTGGTGTTCTAAGCATTGCCGTTTTCACATTATTTAAATTTATGCTTAGAACATGATAATTTGTTTGTTTGTTTGTATAAACTTGCTGAAGTTGGAATCATCCATACTGTGGTCCATTAATGCACCTGCTACTGCTTAAAGAATTATTTAATGCTTACAAATTTCTGGAAAGTCTATGTTTGCTTTACGTGCCTCGAAAATAGATGAAGTGCAATCATTTTTGAAATAGGTGAAGTGCAATCTTTGCAATCATTTTTGTGCGCTGCATCAAGAGTCATAGTTCCTAAGTACAGGGTGATTTCCATATAGGTAGTACTTAAAAAGTGCCGCATAATGAATTTTAAATTGTTCCTGCTCATGCTATTTCTCTTTTAAACTACAAGTTTTCATATTATTATCTACTATAATGCGTATTCATAGTTGTTTTTGGTGTTATTCTGCGATCTCGAGATTCAGTCTTTCAGGACCATTAGATTTATTGATTCAATTTCATGGATAGGATGAAAAAAATTGTGATTAAACCACTTTTAAAAAGTTATGATGAACTTTTTTAAGAACCTTAGAAACTTTTAATGATCTTCTGTCGATTTGTTCGTCTTTGTTTCAAGTTGTTTTCAAGTAGTCATCAATTTTTTTCTTAAATTAGTCGGAGTTTTCGAATTTTTGTTGGTATTGTTATGTAATATGCTGCATTTTCCACTTTGATGGATCCTGTGGATTTTGCGACAAACTTCATTTATATACGATGTTCAATTATGCAGGATGTAATATATTCCAATCAAGAATTTTTCACGGTTTCTTGACTGAATTTAATTCGTACTGAGACATTCGCATTGATATCGCAAAATCCTGCCACTTTTTGTTCTTGGTCGTCCACTTTGTATATCTCGAAAATAAACTTTATCAAGTTGTATCATTTTTTCTGAAAAATGCGATGGCTTATAACCAAAAAATTTGAACATTTCATTAGTATCATAAACTTTTTGAAGCCAAAATGGATGAGGGTTTTTTTGGTTGCGGACTTTTGGTGTTATTGTTTCAAGGATTTTTGAATTACTATTTCATGGTTTTCGAAATTACTTCATAGCTATAGAGAGGACGAGATTGTTTGGAAAGCGCAAATCCTCAATGCGTGAGTGTTAGCGGTAAGATTGTAGCGCATATTTTGCGATAGTTTGGATTAGTCGAAAAGGTTTATTATGCGTTTTTGCGTTGTATTTATGAACAGAATAAGCAACAATGGAAGTTTTGTTTTTGAGGAAATGAATGTCGTTGATTTAGTCGCTGTGAAAAATGATCAGTATAGTGGCGATACGACCAGTGAATCAATGGATCCTCTGAGGGGGCTTAATATTATACAGGTTCAACTTTTGACGAGATATTAATCCATCTTTTAATGGATTCCGGAAATTCATTAATGGTACAAACCAAAATATTGAGATTCCGAAGAAATATGAATGATCATTTATTAGGCAGCAAAAATTAGCGTTATACGAAAAGCAATAGATGATCGAGATGGAATTGAATATGTTATGAAGCTGAGCTTAGCTTTGCACCCTCTTCGTTATTACTTCAAATATATTTGAAACGAAAAAGTGAGATGTACGTAATGATTGTTTTGCATTCAATAGACCACCTGTAAAACTTTTTCTTCCACTTTAAACGTCATTAAATGAAGGTTCTCCATCTTTTTTCCATTTTTTTTAATCTGATGGTAGATGAAGTAGTGTTAATTTCTTTATTACCTCCATGTCATGATATTTTTTCCAAAATTTAAACATTCAGTTATCGATTTACAGAGTTACATCACTGATTATATCCAGTATCGTGTGCACCTGCATAACGGTTATTGTCCGCGTTTGCCAGAAACCCCAGTTTCGGACGATTATCGAAATGAATTAATTCGAGCGGTTGTCTTAATTTTTGAAAAGAAACATGCAGAAGAGCTCAAGAACATGGTTACAACATTATGTCTAAATGGAAGGCTTACATTTCAACGATATGTTGAGGTAAATAAATACATGATATTTACCTACATATATTTTGAAAAACAAGTATCAGTTTACTTTAATATTATGTAAATTGCTCTTGCTGATCACTCATCGCATTGACTTTCATAAATTAGCTCTGAATAAATAACGTAGTCTAAATAATTAACAGGGTTAATTGATTGGTATGATTTTACTATTTATATCTATAGCTATCGTTTTATTTTAAATAATGTGACTTTATAGCTATCAATCTCGCTAGCTACATATCTGCTGCTGTATTTTCATTGTATTAAGTTGTACAAATCCATTGAAGTGTGAAGCATATTTAATTATATTCTGGAAAGATCTAACAGTATCTTCCAAGCTTCGACCCTTATTTAACATATAATTTAGTTCTAGTAATTTAGGCCAGTAAATACTCGTTATTGCAGGTTGTAGAATGTTTTACACAAAACGATGAGGATGAGTCAGCTGAACAACTATCTTATGGACGATTGGTGGCATTGATTGCATTTGCTGGATTAGTTGCAATGAAACTTTGTGATATGCAGATGTTTTCAGAAGTGTCAATGATTGCATCTTACACGTCCAAATTCTTGCACAAGCGGATCGTTTTAACATGGCCACAAGAGAAACGTTCTTGGGTATGCGAGAATAAACTGTTTCTTTTAAAATATGTTTCCTTGGAAAATTTTTTTCTTGTTTAGACTTTCTTGAATTTAAAACAGTGTGACTTCATTTCCAGTTAATAAATCGGAGCGCAACTTTAACAGTGAATAGAAAAATTTAAAAATGAGTAGGTAAAACACAAATCCACTATAATTACTAGTGCTACTCTGGAAACCTGCAGAATTTCCAAAATAAACTGAGATGATTGAAGTAGCGATAACGCTATATTTTGAAGCTGCAACAAAATGAAACATCTTGAAATATTTAAAAATATCTGGAAAAAAAAATATCAAACGGAACTTGAAATTTTACCTTTGCTACGGTAGAAATGAAAGAAGTGCGGATCGACATGACTACTTGATTTTTTTTTTTTTTTATTAAACAGTACCGCACATAGAGCGTAACTGCTTCAAACCTTTTCTTTCTCGGCTAACTTTCCCTCCACTTTGGACCTGACACTTTTATGTCATGTACTTATATCTGAATTATACATACGAAACATATACAAAAAGATTATCAGATAAAAGATTATCAAATGAAATTTTGGAATATTCTGGTGGTAACTACAAATATTTATAATATGTGGATTCGGACAGTTGATAAATTTGGCTTTTATTGGTTCATTCACGAAATTATCACATACTAGTGTACATTTATTTTTGTAGTTATGTTCAGTCTTCTTAATTTTAATCAGTTTATTTGGAAAATATTTCCCTAAAAGAAAAGAAAAAATGTTTTTCTTATAAAATCGGTTCTTTCTACGTATTTCAGGAAAATTTTTTTGATCGCGCAAAAATGATAATTGATAGAAATGAAGTTGAGGCAAGTGAACAACTTAATTTGAAATCGGAATGCAGTCGGTGGTGGCTATCAATTAGAGCGTTGGTGATATTCGGCATGTTTGGTATCGGCGCTTTTACATTAATGAAGGCTATGCTGAAAGCACGATAATCTGTGATTGCAACAGGTATTTGGTATTTAGAGTAGATTTTTACCTATTTTGGTTGAAACAGTTGCCTCATTTGACGAAAAATGGTGGGATGTGAAGACTAGAAAATGGCATAGAAGTGCTTAGAGCATATGATGAATAATGCTGGGAAGCTTTTATTTCGTACTTGGTAAGTTACTGGGAAGGAATCACCGCTTTGGTGGCATCAATATTAACTATTAATTATAAATCCTTTAATCATATGGATAAATTTGAAGTGATAATATAATTCGAAAGATCTCAGTTAGTATTCTGATAACAGTTAATCACCGTAACTATTAAGCTACGAATTATTCTAAGGTGAGACCGTGTTATTAAGTTTCAAGGTCCACCTGGTACTTATTATTGACTCTTTCATAATTCCCTCTTCCGTCCATCGTACTTTAAGCTGTTATCTATTATTAAATTTATGTTTATTGATTGTCTCTTTGTCATGCTTTATTTATTTCGCATAATAATGTATTATCTCATGTTCATTCCATGCTGTCACTCTATTTTACCGACATTTTCGCTTATTTGAAATTTTGAAACTATTCAAGAACTGTATGATCAGCAGCATTTTAGAGATTTCTCAAGTTCTCTTTTTCAGCAGTTTTTTTTTCCCCCCCCTTCCCCCCCGATGAACATTGTTTTGATTTTCGTTATTCAAGCTTCGAAATGTTCATAGGTCTCAAATTTGTACTATTAAAATTAAAAAATGAATTTGTACATTATTTGTTGGTCATACTTTTTCTTTTCCAACTCTTCCAACCTAATAAATTTCTTTCCGTCTTCCTCATCATAATTCACTTTTTTTTTAGATACATAATAATATATCTAATTTTGTTTTTATAAAATACTTTTTTTGTAATCCTCAGTTTTTTGTGTATGCGATATATTTCAGTTGAATTTCTCAAAGTAACCCGTTAAAAATCATACTGGTTTCGTGTGATGAATGATGGTTTTCATTTTCTTCAATTTTATGATTCTCTGTTTAATGCCAGCACTGTTTTTACTATGTAAGTTATGTACATTTGAAAAGTAAATCATTTTACGAAAAAAAAAGTTTTTTCTTTCTAATTGTTCCTTCCATGCAATCCTGGAAAATGTTTGGTTTATCATCCAAAAAAAAAATTTATATATTTCAAGGAGGACAATGTTGATATTGCAATTATGTTCGGATAAAAATTTTCTCGACAATCAGGATCAGTTAGAGGTATGAACTCCGAAATATAGGAGATATGAGGTTGTTGGGACACTATTGGACAAATCTTGGAATTAATCCTATTAAAATTTTATATTTCAACTTTTCCAGGTATGAGAACTGGTAGGAGTAATGTTTCTGATTTGTAGGATGAAAAATATTTATCACGTATTTGGGAAGCTCGTTATTCGGGAGTGCATTAAATGTCAAAAACGTACGTTCATCCATCGGTGGAGCAAATTCATACGATGGCAGGAATTGGTGGCGGAAGAAGTGGAAGAAAAGAAAATTGAAAAATCAATCAAGAATTACATCAAACTAACGGATGATGGATATCTTTCGCCCGAACGGGTTGAAGATGGTAGGTTTATGATGTGATGTATTTCACATTTTCTGTTATCTGTTTTTTAGGATGGCTATTGTAGCTTAAATTTATGCCTGACTTGTAATTAGGAAATTGTGATCAGTTTGTATTTTTATTTTTTTGTTATTTTTTCAAAATCCTTTTTTTAATTTTTTTTTATATTTTTTGTTTTGGATGGATTTTTAGATTATTTTTGACGTTGGGGTTTTTTTTTTTGCTTTTTGTAATTTCTAAAATTTTGTTTTTTTTATTATTTCTTTTTTTTTAATTTTATTTCTTATAATCTTATTTCTTTGTCGTTTATGAGAGTATTTGTGTTAGGATTTATTTGTCCAATGCAGAATTATGTAATGTTTGAAGCTTCAACTTGACACTTTGCAATGTAACTAATAACGCATCGTCGGTACAATTCAGTTCGACTTGATCATCTTTTTCTTCTCGTGTAGCTTTCGGTAGCTTTCTGTTCTAATTCAGTGCTGTCTATTATCTTTAACTTAACGGTTGGTTCAGTTTAATCCAATTTCGATTCAGCAGTTTTTGATAGTAATCAAAATGAGATATAAAATAAAAGCTTATAAATTCCTTTTTGTTACTAAAACTAGGAGTGAGTATGAATAATTTCCGTCTGGTTCCTCGTGGTTGATGTTTTTTCTTTCCTTTTTTCTTTTGTACCAAATGATACCAGTTCTGTTGAAATCATTCTAATCGAATCGTTGGCATAATTTAATGGCATCAATAATATCTTCATGAATAGTTTTGGTAAAAAGTAAATTGAGTGAATAATTTTTTTTTGCAAGTTATTGCTAGCCTCTATCTTTTTGCTCCAGCTTCTTATACTTGTTTAGATTGTTAAATTTAGTTTTCAGCTAATCCAGTAGCATAAATTATCTGGTGAAAATTTCAGTCTTGCCAAGGAAACAACCGGAGGATGCACCAAATGATATCGAATTTAATACATTTTATACGCAACTACGATATGTCGACCATAGTTTGGATAATTTACGTCGCTTTAAACGTTATGAACATTTTCAACATCTCCAATATGATCAAAGGTAATTAATTGTCCGTTTTGCCTATTTTTATCATTATTATCATTCCAAATAAGATGAATTTAAATTATATTTACGACAGTAATTGGGTTAATCGATATTGCTGATTTAACTGATCGAAATCCTAAGAACAAACTTCCAAATCATCCAAATATTTAAGATTATTTTGGATCTGCATGGTTGATCAATTTTTCAATAATATCTAAAGCATAAAATAGTATTGTGATATTGACGAATCGCATTTATCAGAAACTTAAGAATTATATGCACTAATTGAAAATATACATTAGCAGATAGAGATATACGCTGCAGACTGAAAATCACATTGAATAAGCACATGAAAACCAACACTGAATAATTTATACAAAATTCTGTGTGTTGAATACAATACGGAGTTTTAAAATATTTTCGATATGTTGAAAAATATGTTGCATGTGGTCGAATAACGATCGACCGATTGATTAACTGGTTAAACAAAGGCTGAATAAGAAAAATTAAGTGGCGGACCATTCAATCTTTTTTTGACGCAAAGAAAAAACTGACATATATTTCAGTTACCATTATTGGAAGAGAACTCTAACTGAATAAGATATTCAAGCAGTAGTGCGATATTCAAGTGGAAATATATTCAAATAGATATTGAAATAGTATTTCTCATTCAAGTATGGGGAATATTTTTGAAAAGTAAAGTTAAATAGAAAAGGGAAAAATGTCGTTTATTTAACACAGTAATTATTCGAATCAAATGGAAAAAAAACAAAGTATCACAGAGTGGAAACGATGGGAGTAAATAAATACATAGAATGATCAAATTCAGCTAATGCCATATTTCTTTGCAATATTTTTCAGTAAGTAATAATCTGCCACAGTACCTTGGTCTAGTTCAAAAATTCTATCCAAATCATTAGCCGGTTCGTGCTCGTAATTTACATTGCACCAGTCTTGATTACAGCAACATAGCGTACCGATCATTTCGTGATCTTCTTGAGTTGGGCGTATCATGACACTTGAGGCACAGTAATTCATATAACCAAATACACTTTGTTTCCGTTCACCAACTGGATGTGTTTTTTCATCTGTTATGTTGTGAACCATAATCTTGAATTTAAATTCATAGTTTTTTGGTGCTACATGTGAATGATGTCAATTTCAGATGAATAGTTGGGCTAGTTTCACAAAAATTTGATGAAATTTGACTTTACCATTTACCATACTATTTCACATCACTTCTATTGATTTACTTTCATAATAAAAGAGGGGGGGGGGAAAAAAAAAAGTAAATGAATTGATTCTCACTTCGCATACGAAGCTATTATCACAACCGCGGACAGATTTTATATATACTGCAGGATCGGTTCCGTTAAATGAAAAGCAGTATCCATTAGGACCACATTCTTCTGCTTGACTTTTTTGCATGCTCGAAAAGCACTTTACAGCGGAGACAATTGGAATAAATGCTAATAATATGGCGACCATTGATTTCATATAATGTAATGCTAGAGAACAGCCGCGCATTGTCCCTAAGCCAGAATTCAATAATGACAGTCTGTAATTACGATGCTATTTATTTGCATTAAATAATAACTAAATTTAAGCGGATTTTGATTAGCATAATTATAAAAATAAAATACTTGTACATCTATGTCCACTTGTATATTTCCGAAGAGATTTTTTAACGTTTAGAAATCTCGAAATTAAAAAGAACGAGGAAAAAAGTAACACTGTTATATCAAGCTAGAATCAGTGTTTAAATCTTTTGTCGCCATAAGATGGATATGATATCAATAGGTCATGACTGTGACATTCAGGTCAAACTAATACTGTTTGCTTGAATTATATCTCGTCATTTTTTAGATTTATTCCGGAACGTTTGCTATTTCTTGGTCCAGATTTAGCTGCTGCTCATTTTTTGGTACATCGTGGAGCAGCCGTGAAGTTTGTTGCCGATAATGTATGGATAAAAAAGGATGGTAAAGGGAACTATGCATTACCAGGACAGAAAGTCCCGGGCTTGTATATTGAGGCAATTGATGCTAGCGATACAGAGTTGATGTTCGAAGGTTTACTCGAAATATTTTTTTTTTTTGTCTAGAGAAAAAGCTATGAGATTTGTTTCTAGAATATTAAATGATAATAATGGTAATAATAAATAGTTATAATGGTTAAAGTAATATTTGATGATTGTTTGATAACACAAGTCGTGCGTTGGTTTCTATGCTTGGAAAAAATTATAATTTGCATCTATGAATTGATACGATTTCTTTCAAAACTGTAGTTATACTGATATAACGCTGCGATATTAATATTTTTAGTAGTACTTTGTAAATTTCGTGAACTTTTTTCCTTTTTAAATATGAAAGATCAATATTTAATTCAGGTCTAGAAAATCTAGCCGAATTAAGTCATTTACGATTGCTGAGACTTGCTGGATGTTGTTATGCGGACGATTGGATGATGTCACGGATTGGTGCATTGTTCCCGGAATCACTTGAAATGCTAGATCTCAGTGACTGTAGTCGAATCACAGCTAAAGGTTTAGCTGGTCTACGGACACTCAAGAAATTGCGCTATCTTCGATTGGAAGGGATGGATCATGTCAAGGTATTGATACTATCACTAAAGAACACATTTTTCAGAGAAAGTTCCGGTTTTTTCCGTTCCTGTTTTTTTTGTAGCAAAATAATGGAATAATGGGAAAGCAAAGGACGAAAAAATCTATCTTGTTTGAAAGATGACCACAATAATGTATTCTTTAAATGATCATTATTTAATTATGAAATATCATTTAGCATAGAAGTATTCAATATTCTCATCCTTCAAATACTGGTAAAAAAAATGAAAATGTGAAATGTAATTACATTTTAATGGATTTTTAGGATATTGCAAAAGCGGCTTTGTTACTGGAAGAATCTATTCCGGATTTGAGAGTATTTGGGATCAGTTATGAAAATGCTATGCAATCATTGCAGAGGGAGATGGAACTTCTGGTAAACGAGAGGGTTGTCATTGATGCGAAAGGTTATTTACTGAAACTATTATAACACAATAATTAAGCTGGATTTACAGTTGATTCAGGATAATTGAAGAAGGCAAAGCAGAAAGGGAGATAACGAGGTTTGAAATTTTGAACTCAAAGTTACAGATCATTTTTCCAAGAATAAACATTTGAATAAATATTCTGATCATACTGTAATATCTCATCTTTGATTGTTGAACTTTTTCAAAAATCTCTGAAGATTTGTTCGTGAATAAATTACGAAGCTTCCAATACTAACTTTATGTGGAGAAATTTATTTCTTATTGCGTATAGGTAATGCATACAGGTAATATATATGCCGAAGATGATGATGGACGATTATTTTATGTTGCTGGCCGAGTAAACGAACGACCTGCTGTTACGGATGATGACAAACCGTTAATGACAAGGTTTTGCTTTTTAATTTTAAGCTGTAAATTTAAATCTTTTTTTTTCACACCCATTCCAAGTATGTTGTATGTTTCATTGCAACTGTTTGTATTACTAAGAATAAAGTGAGACTTAAAACTTAAAGTGATCTCCAAGTCTTTCACTTTATTCTTCTTAAAAGATGTACTATACGGAATAATGGACAGTTTTATTAATCGTTAGGACTGGAGGAACTTTCCTTTGCTTTGTTTTGAATTCATTTTGTTAAAAAAATTGAGGTATTTACAGTACGATTCGACGTGAACTTCCGGAAATGGAAATTGCTGAATTTGAACGACTGGACGAACTTTCGGGTGGTAAATTACGACATTTGTTGGTGGGCTCACCTAGTGGCTATTCGTGGACACAAGAGGTAATGGAAATTTTTCTTTTTATTAGTTATAAAGTGAGGCCATATTATTAGAAATAGTAGAGATGAAGCAGACTTGCAAATTTGTCAGAAAAATTGTTGGACAGATTGAATCAACTTTTATTAAAATATCATGTAATTAAGGCATTCCTTGAAGTTTTTAATTAATGCAATAAGATTTGATTTTGCAAATAAGGTTTGATTTGAATAGTGGCGTGGATGAACAGAGGAATCAACTTCATAACTTTTTTTAAAGGTGGAAACAATTCTGAGTTTTGAAGAAAAATGGAAGAAAAGGCGTGGTATTCCGATAGATCAAAAACTTTTACCAAAATCAAGGTGCATGCCACAATTGGAAGATTCAGTGAAATCAACCAATAATGCATTACCTGATAAACAGGAGGAATATGAATTAATCGAAGATAAGGTGATAGATAAGAAAGTCAGTGTGTGATCCTTTTACTTTTATTTTTCTTTTTTTAATGGTCCTTTGTGATTGCAATCAACCATTGAGCTTATTCTCTGTAAAAACATGGCATTATTGCTTGAAGATATCTGGCAGTGAAATTTCCTAGTGCCTATCGTGAACAGTTGTTGGTTTCATGATCTTAGTAAATATACTACAGTCTTCCTGTTTGTTTTTATGCGATCAAGTGGTACTGCTCATATGTATTTATATCTTATGTTTTTACCATAATTTAATTGCGTTTATGTCAAAAGAACCAAGTCTTAATATATTTAACGGTAATTCTTGAAATAACTGAAATAAGCAGCCCGTTCTTAATATGATATGACTATATTCAGAGTTAGAAAATGTTCAGAAGATTTGATGGGATGTGAACGAATCAAGTGTAACATACACTTTAATTTTTTTTATTCACTTTTCTGCATGTTGACTTTTTTATTATAATCATCGATTTTATTGCAATCATTGATTTTTTATTATAATCATAATATTAGTGCTTACCAATAAAAAACTACAATTGAAACCTTGAGAAATTCAAAAAAAAAAAGTTTTCTAAATCGTTTTTTTTAATGTATGATAAAGAAACATTAATTTCAGTGATTTTTTCATTTTCTGATCAAACCATAATAGTGGTAACAACCAGCAATTAATAAATTGCATGCATAACAAAATTAATTCCATGTATCTTTGCTGTTTGAGACTTGTTTGGTGAGTTTCCGAATTCAGTTTTCCAAAAGTTTCCAGAAAAAGACTAAATAAATTAGAGGGAGGAGGGTGGTTCATTCAGAACAGATTTTCATTTTTTTGTCAAATCAGTTTAAAAATAGTTACTATTCTCTTGAGACCATGTAAAATCATCAGTGATTGTGAACAGATTGTTGGAATGTTAGACAAATTGAAACTAGGATTAATAAAATACGTTTTAATCCAGTATTTGGCGTGGTGCATTTTATTTCGATGGTTAGATCAATAATAGTGATTGATTCGAATTTATAATAAAGTCGGCAAAGTTTGTGTTAAAAACAGAAATATTAGCTTAGAACATTGGTCAGCAAGTCTTTGCAGTATGAAATTCGTTTGATGAATTCCCGAATTTAGTCTTCTAAAAACTTCTAAAAAAAGGATAAATTCGAGGGATGAAGATGGTTCGTCCAGTAAAAATTAATTTTATTTTTTCATTTTTTTGTCAAGTCAGTAGTCACGGATACAAATGGAAAGAGTCGGATTGATATATCAATTCATGTAATTGGCAACCGGAAAAATTAGCCGGGAAAAAAATAATTTTTGATTCGCTTTTGGACAATGCAAAAATTAACCCCCGAAATAATTCCCATGATAGAAGCGGGTAGTTATGATTAATTCCATCTGATTAATCTTTATCTAAGAAATAGATTCGTACGCACTTTTCCCGGTTAGTCTTTGTAGTTGATCAAACAGTTGAACAAACATACTTATAAATTAGTGAACAGCATTATAGATTTAGACAGAAACATTATGAGGTATCCGCACATCAG